TTCATTTGTAATCTCAACGGGACGAAGAGCAAGTTGACGTCTTTGAATAGTCATTGTCTACAGAATATAATAAAAGGTAAAAATGTAACTGTTAATTTTAGATTACATTGTTATTGATGCTATTATACAATTGAATTGAATTGAATTAAAAATAAATTATATCAAATTTACATACTTAAATTATTTGAAATAAAATGGGTTGATGTGTGTGTGTTTGAGTATGAGTGCAATAAGTAGCAAGAAAGCAGGAGAAAGAGTAAACAAATTGTATAAAATGTATGGTTTATATAGATATTCAGCATATCTTTGATATATAAGTCTCTATTAATACTTCTTGTAATCACTGAGATGCAAATCGGCTTTCATACTGCTTTAGAACCCAATTGATCAAACCAGTCTAGTCTTTTGTTTCAAATGCACTTTTCTTTTTTCTTTTTTTTCTTTTTTTGTTGTTGTTCCTGTTTCTCTTTTTTTTTGCTCTTTATATATGCTATTGGTCTTTTCTTTGTTTCTCTATCTCTGCAACTTCTATTATATTTGCGAACTATTTGTGTAAGACATGTTCTTTCTAAAAAGTCTTCTTTATAGAAAATAAAAGAATTTATTTATTCTGTTGCCATAGACACACTCTTCGTCACTGTCTCCACCCATTTTTTTATTTTTTTATTAGTCTTTTTTTTTAATCTGCTTTTTTAAAGTACTTTTTTTTATATAACTAAAAAGAATTAGTTGTTTCAGTTGCCATAGACACTCGCCCTCTCTTTTCTTTTTACTTCTTTCTTTCTCTTTTACTCTTATACTTGCAAATGTTCCTGGTAAGGTGCTTTTTTTCTTTATTTTTCTTTATTAGTAATTTCTTCAAATATAGCTGAGTAATAACAAGTGTTTCTGCTACCATAGTCACTCGCGTATAGTTTCCTTCTGATGCATCCTCTTCACAATGGCCATCCGGATTAGTTAAGGTTAGTAAATATACTTCATACCATCATCTCATAAAAGTATCCTGATTTTTTCCTTTCTTTTTTATAGGACATATCACCCAAAATATTTTCTACAGCTAAACACGACCACCAACACGGTAATATTTTTATCTATTTATTTATTATATTTCTCTTTAATATTAATCAAACTGAATCCAATTTTTACTATAGATGAACAATCCTCTCCAAAACATGCTATGGATCAAAAGCTTCTATCTCATGCTGCTGTCATTGACATGGTAAGACTTTTTTTGTTCTTTTACTATCCTTATATGTATCATTATATTACTTATACTGTTTATTAATAAAAAAACTACCAGATACTATATCGACTTTTGATAAGTATTATCTATATCTACAAATAAATCCGTTTGATTTGGGTATGTAAGTTAATAATTATATCGCCCAATTCACAAAAATTAATTTTTTCCAATCATTTTCATAGTCAAAGGAATCAAAATTCCGTAGCTTTACTTGTAATATTTTATTGTTTGGTCTTTGTACTGGATAATTCCAATGTAAGTATTAATGGTTTATAAGAATTGAAATATCCAACACACACGCACACCCATCACTAACGATTTATCTATTCTCAAAGAGTACTGCTCGTACCCCAAAAAAAACGTATTGAGCAGCTCATTTTTTTTTAGGTATTTCTTTTTTATAGAAAATTTTTCATCTCAAATATAACAAACCAACCGAGCAAGAAGTAGCTAGAGATATAGAATAGTATTATTAGATCTGAAACCTAGAAACATTCTATTCTTTCCAATAAAAATAAAAGCGTAAACCATTACCAGCCTAATAAGAATGGGAAACCAAATAAATAAAGAACATATTACTGGTCCATAATTTTAAAGACGCCTTTTTTTGCTGCTGATGACCAAACTTCTTAACAATAAACTAGCTTAAAGGTCACCTTTACGCTACTTTTAATCTTCATAATATGTCGGTGCCTGACCTTTATGGTTCCATATAAAGAATATCAAAATAGATATGCAGTTTTAAAAAACTTTCTTTTTATATATCAAGTCAGATAAGTATATCTAAAGTGCTAACAAACCTTACCTGCAGCACCCCCACCCACAATTCTGCTAGTTGACTCTAGTCATTCCACTATCTGTGAAGGTCACCTTCAGCATAAGTGGAAAAAAATCAACTAATTTAAATATGGAAATTACACTACAGTATACCCCATTTTTAAACTACCTTTTTTTTATTTTTCCAGTGTATAAGACAATTAAATTCATACCAATAAAAAGTATCTTTTATTCTCTCTTTGATTTTATGTATACTCTTTGATCCCCAGTGGGTTTGACCTTTTGACTTTGTTATAGTAAAAGGAAAATCAAACCCAGATCAGAAACGTCAACATAGTAAGTGCATGTTGGACCTTTTTATCAAGTCTCAATCTAGTATTTCTTTTCTGGCACTTGTAACTAAGTCGCAGAATCAATACCACCAGAGATTGTCAAGTTTATGAATAGTTTAGATAAGAATAAAGATACTTTTTATTAAATATATTTCTTGACTATTTATACAAATTGATACTTGATTTCTAGCTAAAAGAATAGCTACGTTAATATGTCTTAGATGCCTGTTGTCCAGTAATATCTACTACAAGTATATTCACCATCTTAAACATCTAAAACATATATGAAAGACCAATTGGCAAAGTCAAGATCTTTTATCCTAAAAAGTCAACTCTTACTGGTTGCTTATAACTACCGATTTTGTTCACCGATGTCAACTCTGACATTTTCAATTTACAAGTTTTGGGCAGAAAGTTATGAGTATCAAAAAATTACTTATAAATTTTTTCTACAGTATAAAGATAAGTGAAATTTGGAGAAGCTGGGCGTCGATCCCAGTGCCTCTCGCATGCTAAGCGAGCGCTCTACCATTTGAGCTACATCCCCACTGCTCTTTCACTTAAGCATTTTATTTGCCTGGTTCCAAAATTTTATTTTTGACGAATACACATATAAAGTGTATCCATCCATCAACATCTTTACGCAAAACGATCCATCCATCACGAAAAACGTACCTCCCATAGCCAAAAGTAGTGCAGTCCTTGTCCTTGGTATCCCAGCTGTCAGCAAAAAAAATTTCAGCTCAATCAGACAACATCACGCCATCTGCATTCTCAATCCCAATGGCCAATTTGCAAATCGGCAACATGCAGGGATTGCCAACCGAGCTTACCTCATTCCTGACAACATTGCAGGCACAAATCATGAATGTGCAAAACAGAACCGACCAGTTGGAGCGACTTGCAGCAGAGAATGCAAGACTAACTACTGAATTAGATCATGCTAGAACAACAATTGCTAATCTGCAGAAGCAATTAGGATCTCAGAGTGCACCTGAAAAAAACTTTTCAGAAATTTCACTTTCGAACCCAGCCGGCGCAGTAGGTGCTCCTGACAAAAACAAAGAACCAGGTCTGGAAGCCTCCACTTGGGCTACTAAAGCCAGTGTTTCTCTTCCTGTAACTGCCCCAAAAATGTCTACTGTTCCCTCTGCTCGCCGTATTGCAGCTTCTGTTCGTATGTTTGCTCTTCCCTCTGGTCCTTCAGGTTATGAATATGTTTATATTCCAAGATCAAGACGCCTTAAGCACAAAGAAGTCCGTTCCTCTCTCCGCACTCTTGGTGTGGATTCTTCTCAACTTTTGGACATTAACTTCCCAGCCAGAGGTGTCATTGGCATCCTTGTTCATGTCCAGTATGCTGATACATTTAAGGCCAAACTGACAACTGCTTCTGTTGAGATTTTGGACGCATTTGATCCACTTGATCCTGATAATGTTGCTGATCCCAAGTATGCATCTCTGTCCACTCATGAACTTGCCAACACTGCTGCCATGCTTCACCATGATAGATATCTCCAAGCCCTACAGTTCTTGCGCCCACACGTTGCTATCCCAGTTGGTCACTTCTTTTGTGAGGAAGGGTGGATCAGTGAAGATGAAATACCAACACGTACTACTCTTACCAATGCTACTGGCGGGTCTTTGTTCAAACGTCAGCGCAGCTCATCAGTCACTATGTCTGAATGAGTAATCTCAATATCGGATTATGGAATGCCAATGGTCTGCAACCCAGAGCCATTCAAGATACCCTTCAACACTGTCAGTCCTTACATATGCTCTTCATTACAGAAACATGGCTTCTCTCTCCCTCACATCTTCCCACATCATGGTCACAAATTCACTTGTATGGGTCTCCTGTAGCTGGCACCTATAGGGGCTCTATGGGTGTTTCTGTTCTCATATCACCTCACTGTCCTTATGCCATCACTCAAATACCTATGCCCTCCAAATATGCTCTGGCTGTCAAAATTGGCTCACTCAGAATTGTATGCTTATATCTTCCACCAAATATGCCTGTTGTGGGGAGAAAATAAAGCAAAATATAATATAGACGAAAGAATTCGTGAGAACTTGTGTAGGTTGTTTATTTCAAAAGAAAAGTAAAGAATGATAAAATTCGATTGTCTTTCTACACGGAACTATCTACTGATATTTATATGTTTTTCTAATTTGTAATTCAGTGTGTGCTTAAGTAATCTTTATCACGATGAGTCATATTCCAGGAGTATTGTTCTTCTAGAAAGATCCGGAAAGACCAATTGATATGATACTTCTCCAGTCAGATCAGTCCAAGAGTTTTGGTAAAGAAGAGCATTTATGCTATTGGTAATATTTTAGTATTCCGACCCAGATACTCGGGTAATGTTTCATAATATTAGATAGTTGTAGTTGTAGTCTCTCAATTAAGTATTTGTATAATAAAAGAAATATGTAGATGAAATATAATGATGCCATATATATAATGTATATGTATTTGTATATCCCATGTCATGGTGATAATAAAAAATAATCAATTATGTGTATGATGATCTGTGTATTAGATAATATCATAAAGGGAGATCCGTTTGACTGGAATAGCTGAGGATATTATTTTATCCTTCAGTCTTACTCTCAGATTCAGCAGTAATCAATACTCATTCACAACAATGCCCACCTATGATGTCCTACATGTACTCTCTTCTATTCCTTTAACACATGATACCATTCTTTGTGGTGACTTCAATGCAAGACTTGGCTCTGTTACTGGTGACTATGCATCAAATTCTCATGGACTGGCACTATGTTCTTGGATAGAAGAGAGATCTCTATCAGTTGTAAATGCAGATCTTGCACCTTGCATACCAACATATATTTCTTTCTGCAACAACTATGAAATCAGCAGTATTATTGACCTCTTTATAACTAATATGCCACTCATCAATCCTTCTCTTCATATTGCTACTGACTTGTCTCTTGGATCAGATCATCACCTTTTATCACTTTCCTTTACCTATGATCTACAGCACTCTACCAATATGCTACCACCATTACGCAAGACATGGAACCTCTTACGCCTCAATGAACCTGATGTCCATGCTCTTTATGCTCATACCTTCAATCAAAACTCAACCTCCCTCCTTTCCACCTTGCAAGACATTGTACAGAATCCACCACTCACTAGACCTAACATTGATGCTATCACTGATGAGTTCAATTCACTCATTTATGACTCATTAAATAGCTCAATTGGACATCGACCCTCTCGCCCAAATCATTGGAAATCCTTCTGGAATGTAGCTTTGCAAACAGCAGCAGATCGTCGTAACCAATGTTACAAAAAATGGCGCCTAGCAATAGGTATTGACAAAGTTGTTTGGTGGACTAAACACAAGCATGCACAGGCCGAATTCCAATCTCAGGTTCAGCAAGCAAAACGTCAGTCTTGGCATGTCTTTTGTCAGTCTATGGAACGTGACTTCAGCAAAGCAACATCAAAGATAAAGCAGTTAAAACGCTGTAGACAGCCACAACATACTTTCCAGCACGATGATGGACCAGCCGTAGCAGCAGCAACAATGTGTGACTATTTGGCAACAGTATATAGTGGACATATACTTCCAGCAACCCGACCACCAGCACCAATGACCACTTGTAACAGTGTGCCTTTTGCCTCTGATGACTCTCCCTTTACCTCACCAATTGTAGAGGAATTCATGCAATTTATGCCTAACCGCAAGGCACCAGGACCAGACCATATCAGAGCTGAAATGCTAAAACCTGTAAAAACACATGTCTCACCCATTCTTACTTTATTATTTACAGTTTGCTGGCAATGGTCATATGTTCCAAGTTTGTGGCGCCAAGCCCAGATCTTCCCAATCTTCAAGAAGGGTAGTCCAACTGACCCGGCAAACTACCGACCAATCTCCTTGACCTCTGTACTGCGTAAGCTTTTTGAGATGTGTATAGCCCCCCAGTTGCACAAGTACTCTCCTCCTTTGGATGTGGCTCAAGGTGGTTTTCGTCCTCGCCGTGGTGCTTTGGATCAAGCTCTCTGTCTCCATGATCTGATGAAAGCCTATTATCACCGTCATAAGCACTACCCTGTTGTTGCATTTCTGGATATCAAGGCTGCCTATGATACAGTGGATTGACGAATCATCTGCCATGCTTTACAAAAACGTTGCACTCCACCGGCACTTTTGGGTCTCTTGGTTAACATGTTTGACAATGTCTCTATTTGTGTCCTTTTGGGTAACTTTTCTTCACACTCATTCTCACCTGCCACTGGGGTTCTCCAAGGTTCTGTCCTCAGTCCACATCTGTATTCAATATATATCAACTCCCTGCCCCCATTGCTCCGCACAGTTGCTCACTCACAAACTACAACCCATGTTCCATCACCCTCTCCTACCTCATTGGATGCATATAATGCTCTTCTTGCTCCTTCAGGTGTAGATGGCTTTGGACATATTCATTTCTCAACACCCATCAATTCTCTGCTCTTTGCCAACGATGTAGCTATTTTTGGTTCTCTTTCAGACGTTCAGGCCATGCTAGACCTTGCTGCAGACCACTCTTTTACTCTTGGATATCGATGGAGCCCCACCAAATGTGAAGTTATATATCCCAAAACACGTGCAAGCTCGCCAGTTTCTCTTCTTTTATATGGTCAAGTTCTCCCTGCCACTGACCTGTTTATTTATCTGGGTGTTCCTTTTGCCAATAAGGGTATTTCTTCCAAGTCCATTGCCACTCATAGACGTTCTGGTACACTTGCTACAATGGCAACCCTAAACTCTGTTGGTGCTTGTCGTTCTGGTTTTTCTCTGCTGCTCAGTTCACGATTGTATAAGACCTTTGTCCACCCAAAATTTGAATATGGTTTGGCGATCTCCACTCTACTGAAACAAGATATCAAAGTGCTGGAGTCCATTCAAGATAAGTGTCTTCGCATGATCGTTGGGGGGCATGTCACGTCCTCTACAATTGTGTTAAAGCACATCTGCAATCTGCCAAGTATGAAGTTTCGTGCCGATGCTCTTATGGCCAAGTTCTGTATAAGATCACGCTTTTTGCCAGCCCAGTGCCTTCTGTCTCTTTTGCACCATCATCATACCGTCTATTCTTCACTTGTCTCCTTGGGAAAAACCCATCTTCTGTCCAATCTCCCTCCAACACTCAAACTTCGAAGCCCTAGTGCTGTAAAAAATCATTTTGAAAGCATTAGAGAAGCTGGATTTGCAATCTTTCTCCAGTCCAATACGCAAGTTCTCATTCAAGCATGCCGCCCAGTTCTTGGAGTTGATCCAATCTTGTTTTTGCCAGCCTCATGTGTGGAACGTGGCTGTTTGATTCGTTGGAGAATGGGGTGGTTACCAGGCAAACCAAAGGAATGTCCTTGTGGATCAGATCACACCTCACGCCACCATTTGTTGGATTGCCCACTTGTTCCTATGGCACTATTTGAACAGTTGCCTCAACCTGACCAAGATCAGATACACAGAATTGATTTTGCCATCACATCCTTGCCTTTGTCATCTCATGAACTGCGACCTGCATACTGGATACCACTGATGACTATTTTCTGGCACATAGATGTTATATGTAATCCTGATGGCAACTATTCACATGAGACTAAACATGGTGCTCTTTGGACATAATTTAGACTTTTTCTTTTCTTTCATAGCTCTCCACTTTTCATTGTTCTTTACTCCCTTATCTCTCTTCTTTCTCTTTTGTCCTTTGCTGTCTGAAAAGTTCTTTGTTCTGCAATTCTGTCTCCTCCCTTTCACTGTTACAACTATTTTCACAGCTGCAAAGTGGAGAGCAGATTCAGCCATTGAAGCTAGTATGATTTGATCTTCTCTTTCCCCTCTTTTTTTTTTGTCTTTTGTGATCCCTTAGGACTTTTTTATATCTTCTTTTTGTACTTTGGAGGCTATATAATCTATAGATCGCCAGCATTATCTCCTTTAATAAAATATAATCTTGAACCTGAGCTACATCCCCAATCTCTCTTTCACGTAAGCTATCATTACACAAGACATAACAAAAAATTGGTTGCATCCATACAAAAGCTTCATCAATCCGTCCTACATCTTGTTCAAAACGATACATCCATTGTCAAAAACATTGCATCCATTACTACTGTTGCCTTATCTATCAGCAGAAAAAATTTCAGCCGATTCCGACAACTTTTCATTTTTTCAATCTCAAATGTCAACATTGCTGCCATCCTCTATCATGCAGGGAATGTCACCCAATCTCGCCTCATTTCTGGGGAACATGCAGGCCCAATTCATGTCACTGCAACAACATATCAATGAACTCGAATCTCTTGCCGCGACTATTGCTAGATTAACTGCTCAATTAGTTAATGCGGAAAAGCTAATTGCTGATCTCAGATCTCAATTAGCATCTCAGGGCAATTGCCAAATTACAACAAATGCATCAACATCATCTGCACCAACCACACCCAACACTGGAAAAATAACAATAAATACACACCGGGAAATTCAGGCATACTATTGTGAATATTCCGCATTTTACAGTGGGGTTTTGCCTATTTCCACTGGTACCAAAGCTGATTTGGTTACATGTGCACAGACCTGCTATCTACAAGTGTAAAGTTCGATAGCACTAGTGAAGTTGGGGTCAATAGTAATTTTATATCTTTGTATATAATAGAGTACTAAGATAACTTTATTTTAAACTTTGTTTTTTTGCTGTAATACAATCTGTTTCCATGTTAAAGGTTAATAATCAGGGACTACGTCGCATGTGTATTGTTGAACTATCCCTGGGTGAATAGTTAGAACCATGGACATTTTATTGCTTATAAGCCAATCATTAACACTCTTTATTATGAGGTCATATATTATCTGCTCCCCCAATTACTTGATATTTAATTATTATTAGTTTGAATTATAGTTTATTTTTGTATTTATTAGAAAAAATAGAATGATTCTAGGTTGATAGTATTGGAATAATATTATATGCCTCGGGCCGTCTTCACTGGTATCCTTCATATGACTCAAATCAAGCAGTGCTTTATATATAATGTTTGTAAACCCTCATATTCAGTAGTTATCTTTAGCACAGATACTATTTAACATAATAGAAGAGAAGTTAGATGTGTATTTAAATATTTACATGTTGTGAGTGATATATTAATTTGAGGATACATACAATATAATGACTGAAGAAGATAAAAATAAAACTTTGAGAGTTCGAGGCATGGCGTCAAGTATAATTTCTTTAACAATGAAAATAATATAGAGAAGTTAGTTTGAGTGAATTGGGTGACAGAATATGTAATGAATGTATCCGAAGAAAGTCAATTTATTTGTAGACCTAGATAGTACTTGTCAAGAGTTGATATAACCTTTAGTAAAAAACATATATTAATATACAGTATAAATAATACTATCAAACATATTAAGAGAATAAAAGAAGAAGTCTTACCATGTCAATGATGGCGCCAAGAGATAGAGGTTCTTGATTCATTGCGTGTTTGGCAGATGAACATTCATCTGTAATAAAAATTATATTCTGTCAGATAAATATTAAAAGTAAATAAAAAATAAAATATTACCGTGTTGATGGTCTTGTTTAATTGTAGGGAATATTTTTGGTGATATTGTCTATAAAAAAGAAGGAGAAAAGTCAGAATAATTTTATAGGATGACGACATGAAGTATAGTTACTAACCTGGACTAATCCGGATGGCCATTGTAAAGAGAATACATCAGAAAGAAAAAACACGCTAGTATCTATGACAACTGAAATAATAATTATTATTTAGTTACATTTGAAGAAAAGAATTGCTTTAAAAAAAAGAAGATATGTTACCAAAAAAGTTTGCGAATATAGTAAAACACTAAGAGAGTATATATGTATCTATGACAACAGAATGTGTTAATCTTATTGTTGTCTGTACAGAAGTATTTTTAAGAAGAATGTATTTTACCAGTAAAATTCACAGTTATAACAAAAATCAGAAAGAGAAAGAAAAGAAAAGAAAATGGTCGATAAGGAAAAATATAGAAAAATATGGAAAAATAAAAAAAATAAGTAAATAAAATACAAAAAAAACAAAATAGGTAATTAAAAAAAATGAAACTCAAAAAAATATTCAAAAAGCATAATAGATATAATGGTGTAGTATCTAAAAGCAATCTTTGTATCAATTTACACAGTGTGTGTACAAGAAGTTACTTTAGATATATTCTTTTAACCAAGATCAATTAAGACTAGACATCTTTTTTTTGGAAATATAAATATACATTTTTGCTACAATCGTACTCACCCTTGCTCACGCACTCTTACAATTATTCTTACTTATACTCACACTTTCTCTCTCTATCTCCCCATCTTTTTCTGTCTTTTATTTTGGTATGTTTGATAATAAATATAATTGTAGTGTATAATAGAAATTTATTCAAAGAATATAAAAGCATTAACAGTTAATACATATTTGAACTTATATTTTTAAATTAATAGAATATGTCTAACCAAAATGAAAGCTATCCCACTCGACGCACTCCTGCTGAGAGAGAGATGACAAACTCTCTTGCCATCTTGCGTTGTGACATGACTACTGTCATGAAAGATGTTGCTGATATCAAAGCAAAAACTTCGAACACTCCTGTGTCTGCTGTTTTGCAGAGTCAGCCGATGACTTTAGTGCATGCTGTTGCTCCTGTGAGCATGGAAATGAATGTAGCTGGTTCTCCCACCATGGCTTCTGATGCAAAATCAGTCAACAAAACAAAAGCCTATGTATGTATCATACATATAGTAAATTATATTTTTAATAACTTACCAAGATTCAATAGAGACTTCTTCGGGAGCATTTGTGGGACCCTAAGTTCAAGTCAAAACATTTGGCTGAAATTCAAGCCAACAATGGCAAGCCAAGGTGGAACACGGCTGTCAACTTCAACGAGTTGCCAAACACTGAGTTGACAGAAAACCTCATTGCCTACTTGGAAAGAAATTTCGTAGGAGCAGGACTGAGAAAAAGTGATGTTTGTGACTTTGTCTACACGAACTTCACTAGCAGAAAGCATGCAGCTAATAAGTCTCAGGCTAAAAAGAAGTCAGACAATGCTCGCAACAGAAGGAGTAGCCGCAAAAAGGAGGTAAGTTATACTTTATTTATTTATTATTTGAATAATTCTTATCTAAGTCATTAATTTAAAGCAAAAAAAGAAAACTAATTTAATATTTTCAACAGCACTTGAAACGTTGCAAAACAGCGTACCAGTCTAACAAGACTGCTATTGATGACGAGATAAAAAGAGATTGCTCTGGTCTCATTATAGAAGAGGCTATGTCTGTTGGTGAGTCAGACGATGGCACTTCGCCTCATGTTTCTTATAGTGGGCTTCGTCTTCGTCGTCCAGATTGGAGAAATGATGAGGTAATTAGTTTTTTTAAAGTTGAAATATTTAATTTGGTTAATATATTATATTGTATTATACTGAATAAAATATTAATGTCTTTAATATAGTACAACCACTTCATCACACTTGTTGACAACAAAGTGGTAGCTGATTTAGGCTTAAATAGTCATCAATTGCTGTCACGTGCTTTTGGCAAAACCGTTGAAGGACCAGTCCCTGATGCAATTGCGTCACAGTTTCCTCAGTGGACTCTTAGAAACGGGCCCTAAATAAAGTTTATATTTTTTGTTCTTTTTTTCTTCATTCATAACGTCTTATACTTTAAATAACCAAAAAAATACATAAAGAGACATTACTTGTTCTTTGTTTTTTATTTAATTATTCTCATAAAAAATCATAGTGCATAATTATTCATAAAGGCTTCAGGCATAGTATTTTTTTGGCATAGGAATGACCAGCATTCTTTCTTCGTTCATATCAGTTACATCTACAGCAGTTGCGACCTCTAAGTGTATGCGATGTACGGGCAAGATGCTGTGATAATTATCAGCAGAGAATTCTGGCAAGCAGATTGCAATACCTTCATCTCTGTGTTCATTGTCATTTGTCGAATTATACCATCGGATGTATGCAAAAACATGCTGGTCTTGATGTAATGTTGATGCTCGGTGGTTTGGATGAGGAGGCAGAGTAAATGAATGTATAAAAAGATACTGAATTTGTCCGGTATATAGGCTTGAAGTTCGGCCATTGCTGCTACGGAAGAAAGCTTGAACGAGTGACCCGCGCTTACCAGAACTGTTGTTCCCAATATATGTTTGGCCAAGGAGATCAATTGATTTCAATTTTGTGATTCGGTCATTTACAAAATATTGTGACAATCTGGCATTGTAGTAAGAAATGAGATTAGGCATGACATAGGCGATTTTATAATAATCTAACAATTGAGGATAATCAATATCACTCATTGTTGATTCTTTTAAGGACTGTAAAGGAAAGGTGGATGGGGGGAGTGGTTCATTGCCTTTGATAGGTGCTGCTCGACTTAAGGATGAGTCTACAAATTGTTGCAGTCGGAAAGGTTGTTGGTTGGTTGGAGCATAAGTGGCATAGGTCGTTATAGGTGCAGTCGTAGAGGTAATACTGGGGAATTAGATTTCTACACATATGCGATAGTATGGGAAATTCTGAGTGACAGAATAATTAAATTCTGGAATTTGGCATTTATAGATTCCATTTGCAATATGTTATATTACCTGTGAGTTGTCCATATAACTTCTGAACTTATAATGATCCATATAGAGATGTAAGGTTCTTTTAAACTATTTAATCGCAGAGAGAATAATCAAATTATGGCATCTTTTTTTTTGGATGTTACATTAAATTAAACTTGATTTGAAACAGAGATTCCAATAAAAAATCTATTTTTGATAGAAAACTGTCTACTGAAATAGTAGAATTCTATTGGATTACTTTATAGAGAAAACTGTCTAATGAAATAATGATATTCTATTGGATCATTTAACAGAAGAAACAGGATTTATGTATACTGTCTTCCGAATCTAAACACTTTTATTGGACAATTATGCATGGCTAAACTATAGGATTCACACATGCCATACTACTGCAATACTTCTTGCACTTCATTTCAAATATTTTTATAGGGATTGTTTTAGAAAAATTGTTTTTATTTAAAAAAAAAAGCTTCTTGCTTATAATATGTATGGCTTGACAATATATAGTCTAATCTAATATACAAGCTACTACATAATTAATATAATAACAAACCCTTTCATATATTATAATATATAAATACTTCCAATACGATAGAATCCTAAAAAGAAATGCGTGTTTACGGTATTTCACTAGTAAGAGAAGGCTTAAAAATTATTCAATTATATTAGATTATATAAATATTTATTTTTCTTTAATTTAAATAATATGGTTACTTACCAGTACTTTCGTCAGAACCAGGCATAGTGCACATTGACTGTTGTTCTGAAAGGTTTAATAAAACGCATTAGTAAAGATCATGGAATAAAGTTTGGCTTTATTACTTACCAAAGAAAACTGGTTTTCAAAGACAAGCTATTCAATCAGGTACATAGAAATGTTGGCAGTACTAACAGAGATAGAAAATAAACAAAATTAGATATAAGAATAAAACAAATAAATACATTATTCAGACTTACCGGATAAATTTCTGCTGTTGGTATGTCTTTATGATGAGCTGAGGAGAGAAAAAGAAAATAATTAATAAAGAAGCACATACACAATAACCGCGTTTTACCTTTTTGTTCTTGTCCATTAATCAACATGGCCAAGACTTGTAATACTATCAGCAACCACAATAATAATAAAATAAAAAACATTAAGAATAAATATAACAGTAGAATAATAAAAA